GTTTGCTCTTGAGTTCACGATTGAATACCACTTACTGGACTGGAATTTGGTAAACTTCGAAGTATGCAGCCAAATAAACATATCTGAAAGCTGCAGTGGTTATAGCACCATTAATTCTTACTAATATCTTGGTTTTCCAGACAGCCACAATAAGTGATATTGTGAGTCATAGTTGCTTTGTGTCTATAGAGTGCCTTTCATCTAACAATTTACAAGTGATTCTGAATTTAACTGTTCAATGTACAAGCTGTATGCAGGTGTCATCTATGCTAGGGATCAACAATGGCAGCTATTCAGCAATGTCCAGGAAGAGTCTGGTGCAGATAATGGAAGAAGCATATTTTAGAGTGCTCAGTTAATGGGCAGAGGTGGCTTGTGTTGCCCAGGTAGAGTTGCACAGGTCAGCTTTCTCTGGTTGCACAGGGTGTAGTTTGGAGAGGAGAGACTGGGATCGGTGTGGGGTTACACCACCACCTGCACAGCCTGCCCTGTGAGCATGTCAGGGTGCTAGCTTAATGCAGGCAGGCAAGGAGGCAGGCATACCTGCTGCCTGTTCAGCAGTGTGTGTTTGTTTCCCCTTATGAGCATCTTCTAGCTGCGATATTCTCTGAACCATTTTGTTCCAAGTATCAGTCCACTCCAGCACTGCTTGTTTTATGAAATGTAGCAGAATGATGCCTCACAGCATGGTCCTGGCTATCGGCTAAGAGAACTTGTTTTCGCCTTCCTAAAAGCATTGGAAGGCAGGGGGGAAAAAAGCCTCTCTATGGAACTGTTGTTTTTTATCCATCTCCAAACTTCGTTGGTGTCTTGCTGTTTGACTTGCAGATTTCTCTGGCTGACTTGAGTGTAATACTTAAAACTGAATGATGAATAACTTATTTTTGAAAGCTTCTGTGCAGCATGGAGTTTACTGATGATTTCTGGCTCCTTACTAAAGCTGGTAATTGCTGCTTGTTTAACTGGTGGTTGATTTGCACCCTCTTGGGAAAGCTAACATCTCTGATAATGACAATGCAGAAACTGCAGTGTTGATGATTTGCTTTTCATTTTCCAGGTTTTGTAGGCTTTAATTTCTGATTGTCAGCTAAACCACTAGAGCATTGGTCTTCAAACTGTGGTGTGTGTGACTGCAAACATGGACATCTGCATATCAAAGTTTTTAACTGTTCAGCTGTTGTGTAAGACACTCATCTGTTTCAACTCAAAATAAGGTGGATTGCTAGAACTTCCTCTGAGTGTGTGCAGTGGGATGTTAACCCAACTAACAGAAATTGCTGCGGATTGTATTGCCAAGTAAAAGACGCTGGGCACATTTCTCACTGGTGTTTGCTGTAGTTAGTTTAGGATTGGAGATGGTTGATGAGAAGAGGTGCTCCCCAAAAAGGAGTGTGCTTGTCTGGGCATGACAGTGAAAAAGGATAGGGAGAGGTTTTCATTGACACTCCCTCACCTGAGAGAGGTGGATGGTTTGATTAGCATGATCCAGCCTCCAGCTTTTGCAGCTAGCCCATGCACTAAACTGGCAGATGTTGATGTTCACCAATTACCTAAATTAAGTCTGGGTCACGCATCTCATCTCCTGTTTCTTGTTTGCTGTGAATGAATCCAAAAGTAGTGCTAACAGCTGGAGTCCCTGCTGAGGCCAGCTTGATCTGCTCTGGAGCTGCTCCAGACAGTGCTCTGATAAAGCTTGATATCGTTTCAACAGGCTCTAGGAGGACCAGAATGATTTCCCCTCATTGTTTAAGGTTTCGTTTAAATATTCGTCATGCCAGGAAGAAGGATATTTCAACTCTGCTTTTCTCCGTTTGCTGCTGCTAATACTAAAAACTTTTTCTCTACTTAAAGTTAAGTTAGAGTGTGGCCAGAGCTTTTGATTTCTGTGGGAATTGCTCTACTGGTTCATCCCCGGGGGCTCTGCATGTTGTGGTTGCAAAAGGTGCATGTGGTAAATAAATAAATAATGCATCAATGTCTCAGAGTCAAAGCACAAGTTCTGCTAACAGAACATGCATAGGGGAGGCCAGGGAAAACTCTGGCCAGATTTCAGTGGCAAGCCAAGCACCTAAATCACTTTAAGGATCTAGCCTGAAGTCTATTATTTTTCAGCATCTTTTTGATTATGGTGTTTAAGAAATAGTAGCAATATTGGATAGTTTGGGGAGCAGTTCAGTAATCTTGCAGTGATGTTTGCTTTCCAAACAAAGGCTTCCTTAAGGTCTCTCTAACTTTGTGTTAACACCTTGTTTAATGTGCATCAGTCAACAATGGGGTTTTATTCCCCCTGTGCATCACCTCTTTGGTGGGATCAGTGCAGCTCTGTGGAGCCAGCCTGTGCACTGGTGGCGTGGGTGCACGTCCTCACAGTGGGTGGCTGTGCTGGCTGCAGGTGGAGGCCGGCACCCCACTCCCCAGCTGTCCAAAACCACTGCCCCTCTCCCTGCCCTCAGCTGCCAGGGTCACGTTTCCTGGTGTGCAGGGACTCGGTCCAACAAAGGGTTACTGGCTTAATTATTCAATATAATCCAGTTTGCTTGGCCTGCGATTGGTGAGGTGTGGGCCTGCATGAGCTGCTGTGCTGGGACAGGGGGATGTATGAGGGGGGTTGTGCCCCTCTCTGAGGGTACAGCCCCCTCAGACCACTTCTTCGTTGCAGGTACAGCTGGCTTATGGCTTCCACCAGGCTTGTCCCTATAACAAACTTGTTTCTAGTGCTAGGCTGTAGACTGGCCCTTACAGCTGTTCTCAGGCTGACAGTGAAGTGTAAGCTCAGCTACGGAGCCGTTTATAGCAACAGAACGACGATAGAGCAGACGGGGCCTATGGCAAGGCACCTTGCCAACGGCCAGGCATGATGGAAGAGGGTTTATTACTGAGAATTAGATGCCTTTGCTGCTGTTCAACATGATCTCCTGCCCCTGCAAGGCACCAGCACCAAAGCAGCTGTGGCCTGAGGTGCCTGGGTGAGGAGTGAGCTCTGTCTTATGGTTGCCTGCAGATACCACTCTGCTGGCGGCTGTGGGGAAGAAGCAAAGCCAATTCCTACATCACTTGAAATGCAAAGCCATATTTTTGCACCTGTAGGTTTGCACACATCCTAATTGGCCAGATTGGCCAGCTCCTTTTGCTCCTATAGCAGAGTCCATGGATCCACTGTGCTGGCTGACAGTGACTTCTGTCCCTGTCCCATCATGGCTTTAGCATGTGCTAGGAAGCAAAAAGCCAAAACCATAGGATTCTTAGATGTAAATCTAAATTGTTCTTGGTAAAGCCTATATTGCCACACCTTCAATGCTATTATTAACTGTGCTTGGTGGATTATTAGGGAAGGTTGTGCAAGTGGTGCACAATCACATCCTCTTCCATGGGACAGGCACGTACAATACTTCAGTATCTAAAGTTAGGATGTTATGGTCTGGATGGCTGGAAAACAATGGGTAAAAGATGTGGTTGGGGATGGAGGGTAGTGGTTAGTCAGTCATGGTGTATCCAGAGACTGGTAACAAATGCAGCACCACAGGGGTCTGTCATGGGACCAGTCCTGTTAACCTCCTTATCAATGACCTGAAGCAGATGGGAGAGTGCAATCTTATCAAATGTGAGATAGCATCTAGCTGGGTGGATCAGTTAATGTGCTCGAGGGCAGGGCTGTTACTCAAAGGGACCTAGATGTTCTGGAGGAACAGGCCAACAGGAACCTTATGAAATTCAACACGGACATATGCAAAGTTGTGCCCTTGAGAAGGAAGAGCACCTTGCAAGAGTGCAGGCTGCAGGCTTCCAGGCAGTTCTGCTCCCTGTGGACCTTGGGGGTCTTGGTAGGCAGCAGGCTGAAAGGGAGCCCAGAGTGTGCCCCTGCACAGCAGTATCCAGGGCAATATTCTCAGAGCCCAGCCAGTAGATGAAGGGGAGTGATCATCCTCCCCCTACTGAGCCCTGAGAGACCACATCTGAATGCTGTGCCCAGTTTTCTAACCAGAGTTAGCCTCTTGTCTCCCATCATTCTTTCTGTTAACACTGGATGGAGATGTTGGAGGGTTGGGAACAAGACTTCTACTGCCACATTTTTAGTGGAGCAAATGCCAAGGACGGTGACTGGTGTCACTACCAAGTAGTGCCTGTTATGAAGGAGCAATGCTGAGCCAAAGATCTGGTATCTAACCAGCAGTTTCTCCTGCTCTTCCCCACAGCCTGCTTAGGGTACTAATGGTGTCAACTCAAGTTTAATGTTTTCACTGTAAAAACCCTTTTAAGACCTGTTGTTTTTAATTTGGTCATGTGGTTTGGAATAATTCATATTAAGCTTATCTCACCATTCAAGGTGAAATTTAAACAGTGAATTAAGTGATTATATCAGCAGCTCTGGAGATGATCAAAGAGGAGTATTCTTCTGAAAGCTGTTTGGTTAGTTCTGTGGCTCAGTCTGTGAAAGCAAACATGTGCTGCCCTGTGCAAACAGCGCAAGAATTGCAGGTTTTTACAGACTTTGTTTGGTGGACTTTTACCCACACCTCCTGGGGAACCTCACTTTGTGTTGGACCATGGGGACGTGTATGACAGAAATTGGAAGATTATTAATAAAGGATGGAGGTATAAGACGTGATGTCCTGGGATCACTTTCTGTTTTCATTTTGACTGGCAAATCAGTTTTGCAATGACTGCTTGGTTTTAGAAACCTAAGCAAGCTTCAGCTCAAACTGCTTCAAAGTCACGTAGCTTGTAAAGATCAAAAAGCTTGCACCATGCATAACAGTATTTTAGTTTCATTCATTTTTTTATACTGTGAAATACGAAGGATATTTATTTCCTGCTTGTAATTTCATGCTGGCTGATCCACCCAGCAAGAGAAACTTGTGTGAGAATCTCTTCTGGTGGGGTCTGTTGCAGCTTTTGGATTGACCATCTGAAAAATGCTGAGCTAAATTGGTGGTGGGATGATCAGAAAAGAAAAAAAAAAAATCTCTGAAAATGTATTTCTTACAACCTTTATCTTTCAGGCCATGGTCGCTTGTTATCCTGGAAATGGAACCGGGTACGTTCGTCATGTGGACAACCCAAATGGTGACGGGCGCTGCATCACCTGTATTTATTACCTGAATAAGAACTGGGACTCCAAGGTGAGTGAGCCACAGGGCTGAGGCAGACCATGAAAGGATGATTACTTCAGAAACAGAGCTTTGGAACTGTTGGCTGTTTCTGTGAACTGTGGTGAACTTGAACAGCTGGTCCATTCTTCATCGCTTTACATTTATTTTCGTGGTGTTTATAGCAACCCCTTGGAAGTAAGAATCTGAACTGTTTCCTTATCGTTCTCTCTCCCATCCCACACACATACTGTTTTGTTGTAATAGAATAACGACCTAAGCACTGGGCTGCTGGCACTTATACTTTGTTTAGAGAAGAGAGTAACGAAGCACTAGAAAGAACCATAATCCACTAAGGAGTAAGTGGATTCTGGGAGCAGAATAAAATGACAGCCCAAATTTGTGACTGTAGTATTCTTCATGCTGTTCCTTCAAGCTGACCTACAGAGGATCTTCAGTCAGCTGCACTTGTGGTTTTCATCCTTATGATGTGATGGGAAAAAGCACGTGGCTTGGTTTGTTCTCGGCATCTTTGACTCCACCAGTGGGTCTCCTGGCAGAGCAGTGTGCTTGTTTCTGCTTGTATTATAAAACAATGAAGTCAGACTGGAATTTACTGTACCTTGAAGTTAGAAACAAAATAAGGGTTTGTAGAACTGCAAGATGTCTTTTTACATTTCTGTTGTTGCAATTCTGTGCAACCATTTACCACTACCAAAAAGAATCATTTTCATTGTTCTTTTTGCAAATTGCCCTGTTTTCTCTCTGGCCTGTTTTGCCCAGTATTAGGTGGCTTCTCTTTAAAGAAACATAAATATTATGAACTCCCAAAAGTGAGCTCAGATTTAGAGACAGTGCCACTAAAAACTCTGTGCTGGATGAAAACACATTCTTTTACAGGGAGTGTGATTAGGAAACATCCCAATACAATGAAATGAAGAAAGGAGATGTGGAAGAAAATGCAAATATCTGATTTACTTTTTGCATTGCATGCTTACTGCAGTAGTGAGGAAGCACCTGAGTGGACAATAAGAAACCTCTCTGAAACCCACGATGCAGGTGGAGAGTAGTGCACGGTTGTGACCTGAATACTGTGCAAATGCGTGCTGGAGGAGATGTGCTATAAGATGCTCTATAACTATGTTGGCATGTGAAAGCAGCTGTGTGGCTTTAAACCCAAACTAATAGTTTCTTACTGAGGTTTGCCTGCCGTGTGGAGGTATTAAGTCAGGTCAGTGCTGGGTTGACAGCATTTTCCCTGGACTATGTGGTGCAGCATAAAAGCCTCCAAAGAGTCCTCTAACAGCAGCAGGGCTCATCTACATCTCTCACAATTTCTACAGTGAGTACAGATCTCTAGACTTTTTCCATGAAACCGGTGGCAAATGGAAGGTGAGAAATGTGGTAGGGAAACCAGGCTATTTCATAAGCAGGGGAAAGAATGGCTGGAAGATTCAGGGAACATATTATTACAGTGAATTACAAATACAACAATAAAGACTTCATTCTTCCTAGGGTGTAAAAGTTAACTCATGTGATTGGATATGGGCTCTGAAATACCATGAGCAGCATCTTGCACTTGTTGGGGGTGAGAGTCTGATCTCGCACTGGTGAAATGGAACATCCTTACCTCCCCTGTGGTATCGACTGCTTCTAGAGATGTGACTGGGAACTCAGAAGTTTATGGGCATTTGTGACAGGGCCAGTGTTTTCTTTATCTTGAATCATTTACTTTAGCCAGATGTTTATGCTGAAACATTACAAACTGTTGAGGTGGCCAGGAGATGTAGTGTACAGTTCCAGTGTTGTCATGTAACTGTCTTGGTTATCATTAAATGTTTATTCTGTGTTTGTTGGGTGCTGAGGAGGGAAAAATAAGTCATTGTTCACATGAATATGTGGGTGTTTATATGTGTATAAAGTAACCTTTTCCTTCTCTTTCAGCTGCATGGTGGAATTCTTCGGATATTCCCAGAGGGGAAGTCCTATGTAGCAGATGTTGAGCCAATTTTTGACAGGTTGCTTTTTTTTTGGTCAGATCGAAGGAACCCACATGAAGTCCAGCCTTCTTATGCAACCAGGTAACTAGTATATTTGAGACTTGGCCAGGAAAAAGCAAAGCATTTCTTTGACCAATATTATGTTGTTCGTATCTAAAATTGTGCTGTCATGTTTAAACACACATGTGTATAAAAAGATTGTTAGATTTTGTATTTCAGTCACTGGAAATATCTCATCAGTTGAGGAATAGCAGGCATGAATGATAAGGTTCCTTATGTGATGGGCGGGGGGGAAGCCCTCTGCCAGTGACAGGAGAAGTCTTGCAAGCCAGGCATAGCTATTTAGCTGGGAGATGCTGGGTTACACTTTTGCCCTTGTAACACTACAGGGATTCTTCGGGCTACCGTCTGTCAGCAGCCTATGAAAAGCTGAGGTGACGTAGGGCAGCCCCCAAGCTGCCTAAAGGCATCCCAGAACAGAAAAACATGCAGAAGTCTGTAAGCTACTTTTGCCCTCTGTTACCAGGGGCTGTGCACTCTTATGTGCTTCCAAGCAGAAATTCTCACCTATATTTCTGTGCTTGATAAAATAGACATTTAAAAATCTGTCTATATTTGTCTTCAAATATGTGACATTTGTATCATATTTTTTATTTATTAATCCAGTTGTTTTATTGTTAGATTTCTCTTTGAAAATTAAACTTTAGAATGATGCTCTATTTTATTAGTGAAAGTTGAAACAAATGTACGATTTTTCTTTTACAGGTATGCCATGACTGTGTGGTATTTTGATGCTGAAGAAAGAGCAGAAGCCAAAAAGAAGTTCAGGAACTTAACTGGTATGACTCTTAAAAATGTTCACCTGAAATATCAAATTGCATTGAATTTTTTTTTTTTCATTTCCCCCCGAAGGCAGAGACAGACTGGGAATAACTCTGTAGCTAGATGGGTATGGCATTCATTTTTCAGAAAGCTTTTTCATCTCTAATCAACAGTCAGTGATTTTATGTGAAGTGGAAAAGTTGTGAAAGAAGAAAATTAAGGCCTGGCCTCAGCATCTGTGGTGAGGAATGTGGGAGAGGTGGCTCTTGATTTTTTTTTTCTCCCAAACGTGCAGCTGAGATTGTCTTACCTTAGGTAGCTGCTCCAATCACTGGGAATCTCCAAGCTCTTTGGTTATTTGGAAGCATATTTAATCTCCTCCAAACATTGCTTAGCACAGTCATGAGACTTGCATAAACAATTTCATAATCATGTTCTCTAAATGTTCGAGCTGAATAGGGCCTGTCTTCTATATTAATGAAGGGCATCTGTGGACTGCAGTAATGCAAAACTTTTTTTGCAGTAATGCAAAAAGGGTTTTGTCTTTTACTTACAAGTAATTTCTGTGTGGGCACATTCATAACAACCCTGGAATGTATAGATTATGAGTTGGAAAGAAACTTAAGTTCGGACATACATATAGGTGCACCTTTTGGCAGGCAGTTGCTAGCATAACTGTGATCGAGATACGAACTGCCTACTTTCAGCTGGGTTTCACAAATAGCCTAAAGTCAGCCCAGAGACATTTGTGCAGAAGCCCAGCACAAGGTGACTGCAGCTTTCCAAGCTGCAGTGCCTGGTACTGCACTACTCGCATGCAAGTAATGGACGAGTGTCTAGATGTGCTCTGACACCCTATGTTCACACTCAAAGGTATGCTGGTTAAGTCTTCAGGGACTGCTGCAGGCAGTTTCTCAAAACGCAGTGTTGCTCTCCTTTCAAGTGTGTACTACACAGCTGGCAAAATCATAATTAGTCAAATGCTTTTCAGAATAGACTGCTGTCATTTCTGTAGCTGGCAGGCAGAGCAAATAGAGGCTTCACCCATCATGAGCAAGGGGCTGAGGGCAGGTGAGGGAAATTATTGCAAATCCAGAGTCTGAAAGTTTATTGGCTACTTGCATACTGCATGATTTGTATTCAGCTTCAGCGGGGTAAATGTACAAAACCTCAGTGTGACTAACTTATTAATATGTTGATTCATACAACAGTTCAGTCCATGTAATGAACTTATTTCAAGAGTCTGAAATGGGAAGTAATATCCATTGACAATAAACCAACTTTATTATGTTTCATTTTTGGATGAACCCTACCAGAACTCTGACTTAACTTTTTTTTTTTTTATCTTTTTGATGTAGATGCGAGGAAAAGAGAAGCAGCTCTTAATGAAGATTAATCAACTGTTTCTGAACTTTGTGAAGAAATAAGACCCCAAAGATGACTTCCATTTCCAGTGGACCATGGCATGTTCTTGTTATGCACAAGAATGCACTGGTTGTGTCTCTGTCTAGTCTGTGCATCTTATATTGACGGTACTTAAGGCAGCCTCCTGTCATGCCCTGCGTCTGGCAGAAGGAACCCTTGTTTTCTGTTTACCTTTTGCTGGAAAAAATAACCAGGGTATTAATTTAAAAAAAAAAAAAAAAGGTAGTGGCTCAGCCAACTGGCTTTTGATCACTTTGTAAGCAAGATAACAATCATTGGAACTAGTGGGAAAAACCTGAGTCTTATTTGCACTTTATAGGAAAAAAAAATCTAGCTCAATGGGAAGGAGCTTTACAAGTTTAAAATCTGTGGCAGACTGCTGATGGCAAGGAGAGGTATTGGAAATGTGATACTAAAGTGGATTTTTGTGGAGTGTCATTTATGGTATGTCCTAGCTGAACCTATTGATGCTCATTGCTTTGCTGTGCAGAACATTGGCTCAGCTCTCCTGTAGCATGACTTTCCAAACAGACTTTTGTATTCAGTCATCGCACTTCCTGGAGTTTGATCACTTTTCAAAAGTCGTGTCAGAGCTGTGCAGTTGCACTGCCCTTTCTGTCCCAGGCTGGAAGATGAAGTGCCTATGCATCTGTCCACAGCTTTGTAAAACCATTTCCTTTCTGTTCTGAGCTGGATTGGTTTTATGTTGTCTATTTTCACTGTTTTGTAAAGCAGCTATTACCTCCCAAAAGTCTGAACTTGGAAGGCTGATGGCACACAATGTGTTGGCACTAAAGGCCAACAGTATGCGGAGTTTGTCATTTTAATGATTTCTCCATCTACTATATCTAGTATGACACAGATGTGAATCTGAAATGAAAAGATGTGTCTGGCAGTCTGAGAAACATGAATAATGGTTGACTTAGACTTGATTTCTATGCTGCTTATCCTTAGTTAACACATTTGTTTATCTTTGCATGTGTATGTAATTTCAATGAAACAGTGATTCAGTTTCAATTGGTCTTTTATGCCAGGTAACTATTTCTGTTATGCTCAAGCCATGAGAGATACAACAGATTAGAGTTATTCAATTGGCAGAGCACTTTGTTTCCTCCATTATTTTTCAGAACTTATTAACTCAGCAGTTACTCATCGAGTCCATCTCCTATCTGCCTAAGCTTCTACAACGAGCACTTACTATGCAGTTCAGAACAGCTCTTAATGAAGCTGAGAGCTAGCCGTGGATGTATTTATCACTCACACTAATTGTTCTCAGCCTAATATGCTCACTGATACACATGCACTTGCATTTATTTGTCTCAGGTTGTCAGTGTACATCAGGCCCTACTATTCCAGATCCCTTCTTTGGTGTCCTCTATTTTTGTGCCAACTGCCCACAGTGGCAGAGGTGGTCTGCCCAAGCTGCCAGTCCCTGAACCAGTCCACCACACCGTGCTGGTAACGGGCCTGAGTCTGTTGCACCTCAGCTAGGGAATGAGCAGTAAGCATGCAATGGCTGCTATTAACCTGTACTGACAGAAGGGTAACAGCTACATAGGACAGAAAAGAAATAAATTCCTGGACATTAACAACAACAACAACAAAAAAGTAACAGAAATAGAGTATTTCTTAAGCAGTTCTGTCTTAGAAGAAGCTGGACATCCTTCAATCTGTTCTTGAATTTTGAATGTAAATACAGTAGTGCTAAGAAACTCCTCATCCTCTCTGGCTTCTCCTGGAGATCCAGCTGTGGTTGTATGGACTAGACTTCATTCAGCCTGACCACTGTGCACCTTAAGAGAGGAATATGAGGGAACTTGTGACAAACACTCTTATAACTCAAGACTAGAAAAAGACAAATAGTTTAATAAATGCTCTTTAATGTTGAAAAGGTATTCTGCTATGCTTGCAACTAAATAACACTTAGACTTGAAGGAAATTTGACCATAACTTGAAACTCTCATTCTGCAATGTTTGTGTTGTAGAGAAAGTTAGGTCTCTTCCCCAAAAGTGAGAGGTAGCCCTCTGAAAGATGGTAGGAGTCAAATTCTCTGACAGGGGCAGTCAGGGAATTACTATTCAAAAGGCAGGAGAAAAAAAAATCCCTGCCTGTTGTATTACTATGCAAAATTAATAATGGCACATAAGTTTTAAGCTCCTGTATGATTTTAAAGGGGGCAAAGACAGCTAAAACAGAGCAAAGCAAGTCTTGCTTTGTATTTAGAAACTTTAAAACAGTGCACTAGAAAGAGATGTTAACAAAAATTTCATTGGAGCCTAGAACAATGGAAAAATGATGGGCCAGAAGGGGAGGGGACTTGTATAAAGTCTGAGAAAGAAAGGTACTTTGGCTACCACTGTAGCTACCATCTGTCTTCAGCAGTGGGCAGCAGTGTGTGTGGTGGATGGAGGATGGAACAGTATAGGTGCATTTATTGTAAATAAATTACGTTTTCATTATTAGCCTATGTCTTCCTGGCCTAGATAGAGGAGAGAAAGTAATTATCCCATGGCAGAGAGCATTGCCTCTATATTTAACATGTATAATGACACAGAAAAAGTTGAGGGCACAGGGCTCTGAAACCAGTTCCTGTCCTCCATTCCAGACCTCTGCCCCATTTCCAGATCAGTAGCATGATGTCCATGAAAACGCTTAACTGGGTGGTGGTGGTGGTAGGGAGTTGGTCATGTAGGAATCCAGTTGTGATGTTTTTTAGGTAGATTTCTCTTACCTGTCTCTGAAATTGTTGCAAACTGCTCTGCAAGAATGTAATTGCCTGGAGAATCGTGGGGGCAGCAGCAGCGTGCTGTGGTACAGAGGGCATTTCAAGGAGGCTCTTTCCTTTGGGTTTTGTCTTCATGGTGAGGTGGCTGAAACATCTGTGGTTAAACAGCACTTGTCATCCAGTTGTGAAAGAGTATTTTCCTCTAAGGCATTTAATTTCTAGTCCTTTGAGTAATGTGCCTTCAACATTCCTATCTTGTAAGATGTTACATGTCATGTCCATGACATTTGAATTTCTCGTGGCTCTTTAAGAACTATGGTTGCCTTTCCAAATGCATTCAAACTAAGGAGCTGTGGAAAATACATGAAGCCACCAAGCCACAATTTCCAACAGGTGGGGTTTGTTGTGCAGTGAGGAAAAAGGCCAGGAGACAGTACTTAAAATCAAGAGACTATTTGTATTAAACCTATAACCAAACTTGCTGGCCTTTTGGGCACGGTAGCCTCTAATCTCGTTTTCTCTAGATTACTTATGGTTCTGTGATGAATGGCCTCAACAAAGTAGTTTTTAAAAAAGATTCACTCTGTTTTCTGCCCTATCTCTCTTTAAACAGTTCTAGTCCTTTACTATTGAGTTTTTTTAAAATTGTTGGAATATTATATATAATATATATATTTGTTGTTGCAAAATAGCTGGCTCTAACACCACTTGCATCTAGAAGAAAATGTATCTATTTGCAGGCAAATAACTAGTTTTATTTTGACTGTGATGTACTCCCAGCAGATATCTGAGAGTGAGTTATAACTACATCTTCTCTTGTCAGGTTGTATGCTGGTCAACAATGCTGGCACTTTGCATTGGATTGATATGGAAACCTGTAGTAGTATTTTATCATGCATCACATTTTGTGTTCCTGTTACTCTTTTTAAAAAAAAAAAAAAGGTGGCAGGAGTCAATAAACACTGGGTTGTGTTAAATGTGGTCCTGTGTAAATCTTTTTGATCTTGTCTTACTGTAGCTAGGGTTGTGGTGGGTGCAGGTGGTGGCATGTAGCTGGGTGAAGCATGGTGACACTGCACAGAGCTGCCACTGTCCCCAGCTGATAAGGCAGAGCTCCATTTGCTACAATCAGTTTGGTACATTCCCTTGGTCACTCCCTGCTATTCTGAAGTTATTTACCTTGCTCTAGTGACCCTATTCTTGAAATGCCTATTTGTTTTCACAGTCCTGTTGAACAAGACAACATTCTCATGGTTCATTTGTCATATGATAGGTTTTATTCTCCTTCTGTCAGCTGATAGGTTTTATTCTCCCTACTACTTCTTCAGGCGGAATCCCACAGTTTTCTCCTGCAGCCACGGGGGAGCCTTCTCACCACTTCCACTGGTGTTGCAGTTGAGTGAAAGCCAAGACATCTTCACTCAACTGTTGAAGTGTGGTGGACTTTTCTGGTGCCTTTGCAATATTGCGGAAGGTGGGATTTCACACACCCCAAGTAAAAGCAGGCTTTCTATGGTGGAGAGCTTGGTTTTGACTTATTTATTTATTTTGCTAAAGAGGGGAGAGAACTGAAGAAAACTTGTCACTTCCTTTAAATGTTTCACTTCCACTGAGGAGTACTTAAAGCATATGGAGATGACCTGGGTAATGCAGAGGGGTTTCTCTTCTGAGCTTGCTCTTTACTCAATGAAGCTGGCCCTTGGCCATCCAGCTGCCAAGGACTTCGTTGTCTTTTCTCTGAACTTGGACCAAACGAGTATGTTTATAGTAAATTGTTATCTTACAGCTATTTAGGGGTCTCTTTCCTCCCCCACCTACCCAAAGGGATATGGCTAAATATACTTGAATGGAGAATTCCCATGCCTCCTGAGAATGCATCTTGCATGGGAGGCTGCAGTGAAAATTACAAAGCAGTATGATAGTGGAAGAGGAATTAATAAAATGGTTTCTGCTTTCCCATGTACTTTTATCTCTGTGGAATATTTCCTCTTCAGGGAGTTAGAAAAACTCCCATCACAAAGCGCAAATAGAAACTTTTTTTCCTGTCTATCAAAAAAGAGTCTGCTTATGTGTCTGCTTATTTTAAGCAATGCTGGAGATGCTAGAAAATAGGTGAAGGGCTGTCCCAACAGCAAGCTGTGTGACAAACCCATCCAGTGCCAGCATGCTTGTTTGCTCATTTCCTGGATGTCCTACAGGGTAAATCTTCTCCTGCAGGAGGAGGCATATTGTGGTTCTCCAGTCCTGGTCAACAGCTCAGAGACTGATTTACCTGGAAGGAAGGCAGGTGAGAGCGTAGCTACCCCGTCCCTGGGTTTGGGGCAAGGGGTGATCTGGTTGACTTGCTGTATGGGTGGCTCATGAGAAGATGGTTAAGAAAGACCAGGCAGAACGGATTAGTCTGAGCTAACAGAGCTCTGAATATCACTTGTGATTGCACACAGCTATTCTTAGTTCCTTTAATCTTAACAGTTTCTCAGCTTGTACCTGTTGAGAGTCTTGTGCTATAACACATCAGAGCAGCAAAACCAGAACTGAGCTCTAAACTAGAGCACTTGGGGGAGAAAGATCTCCAAACAATAGAGCCAATGTATTTAAACAGGCTTTTGGACCTGAACATGTCCCTTTTTTTTCCCAGCTGTGTCACTTTGATAAATAAAAATCACTATCCCACCTTACAAGCCTTGCCCCTCTGATGTTACTCTTACTATTTAATAACTTCCAGAATAGTGGACTGGTCTCTTATGCCCCATGAGCTATGAAGCATTGCTGCTGCATGATCTTTCAAAGTCTGTAATGCTGCCTGCAGCCCTGAGGAATCTCAGCTGAGAAACCTGCAGCTCCTCAGCTAGCAAATAAGCAGTTGAGGGGACAGCGCTCTTCAAAAGCACTTGGAGGAACCGCTTGAGCCCCCTGCCTTTGCCCTATAGTGCTAGTGGTAGTGCTGTGACAGGCTGGTTTGGTTGTGCTTGTCTGTTAATGGGACATATGACAGCAATAGGTGAGGGCAGATGCAAGAATTAACTGCAGGACAGCAACATGGGCTCCCTAGCAAGATGGAGAAGATTGCCCAGCACCCTGGGAACAGCAGCTGCCGGCACTGAGCCACCCTCTGCCAGTGTGCACTGGCTGGAAAAGTCATCCTGGGGCTGTGGGAGAGCCTGGGGCAGCTGGGGAAAAAGTTCACCCATGCTGCTGGCCATGGAAACTGGAAGAGGCCAGTTTGTTTTCTCTTTTGCTGCATTCCTCGCAGCCAGAGGAGTGGGATCTCACTTCTGGGTGCAGGTCAGTCACTCACATGTCTAGCAGCCCCCCCAGATTTCTGCCTGTGAGCACGGACACATCCTGCACCCTGCATGCACTGTGTGGGGCAGCAGCAGCATCGCTGGTTCCCATGAGTGCCTTACTGGGTGAGGAAAATTCTCCTTGGGTACCAGTCTGTGTAGGCAGACACTTCACACTTCTCACAGAAGAGAGGCCAACATCCCTCTGGGATTCATGTCCCATCTTCTTATGACAAAAATCTGGTTTTATTTCAATTTTATTTTCACTTCCTTCCTCCCTTCGCAGCAGAGTGATGCTGTCCCTGCAGCCAGTTGCCTGCTGTAGCCATGAACTGGCTTTTGCAGTGGAGAAAAGCTGCTACTGAAGCCAAGCCCCAGGTATGTCAAGCTGTCCTCCTGGCGGAGAGCTTGTGGATCCTTCCCTGGCAGAGGATGCTGAGCTCTTAAAGTTTATGAAAGATGACATTGCTGTCATCGTTCCCTCTTGCTTGCTCTAATATCAGCACAAGGAGCCAGCCACATCTCCACGGTGCTGTAACAGAGACTCAGCAGCCACTGCTTGGGGGAAGTGGGAAGATGAAAGCATCCAAGGCTCCGCCAGTCTCAGAGGGCTGTGTGTGCATGTGCGTGTGTGAGTGAGTGTTTGTTTCTCTGTGCAGCCAGAGGGAAGCGTGATTTCCAGGGGGAATTAATTTGAGAAAACTGAAAGTCGCTCCTCTGCTAGCAACTAATGTTGATAATAATAAGCAGTTCTTTTTCCTAAAAGGACTGCAAAATAAAACCACAGAGCACATTTTTTGAAAGAAGAATAATTTAGACAGTAGTAATTTTTCCATCAAGCCTTTGTTATGGCTCAGATAACCTTCCTGTTTCTTTGCCTTGCTACTGCTACTAGAAGAAAAATATGCTACATTTTCAGTGCACAGAAGGGACTAATTCCCTCTGCCAGGGCTGACATAGCAACTGATCTATAGCTAAACGCATTTACTGCTCCAGAAAGGCACATCTTTGTAGTCATTTTTTTTTTTTTTTTTTCCTTAGGTAAACCAAAGGAGAGGCAGTTAGAAAAATACAGAAGCATAGCATCTGCTCAGGATATAACTAAAACTTACTAGAGCTGTTCTCACGAGGGACCAGGGGTGAGCTGGTGTGCAGTGCTTCAGTAAGACACAGTAGTGCTTCTAGGCCTCCCCAGCTCCACGTGTTTCACCCTCCTGCCCAGTCCTCTGCCAGCTGTTTTGCAGCATGGCATTACTGCCTGTCACCTAGGAGCAAACTGGGAAATAAAACGGGTGCTATGTCCACTTGGTTGCAGTCTGTGGATTTAACTCAGCTGCTGCTCATTGCTCACCAAATGCCTCTGGTGCAAAGCACAGCCCTGGTCTCTTTTACAGGAGGCTGCCTGTGCTGGACCTTACAGGTCTGGAAAATACACCTCTGAAGTCCTCTTTCCAAAGATTTTAGTGCTCATACCTGGCATCTCAGGGCTGTTTGCTTCAGAAGAACATGGCAGTGGGATGGTATGCTTCCCCTGTCCTGCTCAGGAAAACTGTCAGCAGGGTGTCTGACCTGACCTCGTGGCACTTATGAGAAAGGACCATCAGAGTGCAAAGCTGAAAAGAAGCTTAAAAACTTTTGAGATCCAGGAAAACTGCATAATAGTTCCATATTTAGGCTGAAAGGAACAACAAAAAAAAGGCATCATATTGGACTGATAATTGTGCTATTTCTAATGATGTGCAAATCACCAAAGGTGCTGTTTTTTACCCCAAAGGAGAGAATATTATTCACATTTTATGTTATCTCAATACACATTGCATTCATGGGAGCTAAAGAGAAAGCAATCAAGGTTTGGTTTCCTCCTTGAACTTGAATCAAAGGCATTTCCAGAAAAGTAAAAAGAAAAAAGGATTTAGAGATGTTTTTCTGGCAGGGAGAAAAACTGGCTCCTTGAAGTATGGCAAGAATTGGAGCTCCCACGCTGCATTTAAGCACACTGCCTAGGTGGGTAGTCCACATGCAGAGCAGACCGTTTTTATACAAGATAATTATATGCAGTATACCTTGCTGTTTGCCCTTCTGTGTTTAGAATCCAGTGTGGTGGGCTGTCACGGCATTTTGTAGGACCCTTGTGTGTAGAGCTGGGGCTGCACTGAGGGCATCTGTGGGAGGACCACTTTTTATTTTTATTTCCCTTATTATTATTGAACATGGGTGCACTGCATGCAGCATTGCACCTGATGTACACATGCTGGGGATGCAGCCAAGCTCACCAGCTGTCCAGCAGCCTCGTCAGAAAAGCACCAGCAGCTGGAAACCATTCAGATTGTCCACTCACATAATAAGCACAGTTTTCATTTTCACAGATATAAGATATCCCAGCAAGGAAAAGGAATTCACAGGCAGGGAAACCTGGATTAACGATCAATCTATACATGACCAAGAGGTTGGTCATCATTTAAAAGGGCATGGGCATCTTTGATAGCAGCCAGAGTTTGTCTCAGCCAGGGACATAGCGCCGAACCAGGCAGGACAGATGGGGTGACTGCGTCTGCAAAAGACCACCAGGTCTGGTCAGACTGTAACCTCAGCTTAGTGTTGTGGCAAGCAGTGACTGTGGATTGCTTTTTATTTACTAAACACTGTACATCACGCAAGCTGACACTTGCCCCACCTTTCTAATGGTTCACTGGGTG